GAGAATCAGAGCTTGGGGTGTTATCTGCGACTGCTCCGTTGAGAGGTCAAGACGACTAAGAATGTTGAGGACAAAGGCTGCGGTTTTACCGGTACCAGACTGCGACTGACCAACCAAATTCTTCGGAGGATTGCTCATCAGAAGGGGAAGAGCACGCTCCTGGACCTTGGACGGCTTGCGGAAGTTCATGGTAGAGAGACCTTTCAGAATGCGCGCATCCCTGGAGTGTCAATCAGGTTAGCTGTGAGACTCTCATTTGGACGCGTATCAGTGGGTAGCACTTGCAGGCCTAGATCTTCAAAGCTTTTGACCGAGAACAGGGGGTTGTTGGGGTCCGCTTGCAAGTCACTCAATTTCACCGCGACGGTGTAGTCAGGCTCCTCGAGATCTGCCGAGCCCTGCGCGGGGCCAGAGGCGCCATCCTCCTTAGAAATGGTGGAGACATTGGCGGGATCTGTGAAAGTAAAGAGGATATTAGCTATCAGCCGGGGTAGCGCGTTTTCCGGTCGTGTGGACTGGAGGAACAGCGACGGTGGCGTGGTCTCGTCTCGTACCGGTGGGAATCGACTCGTCAGGCTTGGTGACACGGTCAGCCAAGGAGCCTGCAGCAGGGGCAGTCTCTGGATTCTCAGACATTGTGCAAAAGTTTCGTGGGTATCTCGAGAAAGAGTTGGAGAAGGAAAGATGGAGGGGTGGTCGTGGGGTAAAGAAAAGTTCGAAATGAAATAAGATGGCTGAGCCCGCGATTGGGGTTAATATGGTCACAGCTGATGATGCGTTAGGGACTCAGAAGGGGATAAAATCAAAAGCCCAAGCACGTCGCCAGAAAACAAGAGCTCTCTCTGAATGGAAGCAAAAACAGATGACGCCGAAGAAAGCAACTAGTCCGAATTTAGTCAAAGTGAAATATATGTACTGGTATTGTAAACTATTGTAATAGATGGGCAGGACACATACTAACTACCAGCAACGTGTATGTTTGGTATTGTCACAGGGACCGGTCTTCTCCCCGCCTTGGCCATTGAGGTCATTCTTCCTATCTGAATGGCCTCAATAGCCCCATTGAACACAGCCTAATTGGAGACATTAACTACTTGGTTGATACTAAGACAGGTGGTTCATTCACGAGCTTCGCTGGTAACCGGAAACCCCGTCTCATTGTTCGGTCTCCCATTCCCGCGCTATCCCATGCGCGTCTGCCTTGGAATCTCAATCAAGCCATGGCGGCCGCAGATGTAGCTCCGCATTTCGGAGCAGAGTTAAAGGTATTGATACTGGATGGTGATTTTGCAGATGCATAACTAACCGATTCAATTTATCTAGGATTCCTTCAAACCAGTTAACAGTTGGGTATGGTCCCTACATCGTTTCCCCGCAACCGACCCAGATCATGCGCTTACAGTGGAGCTAATGCAAACATGTTGCACAGGTATCGAATGGTATATCATGGGTGGACGAGATACACCAATTCTACCGCGAGCGCAGCGCCATTGAGAAGGAATACGCATCCAAGTTAACGGCCCTGTGCAAGAAGTACTATGACCGCAAGTCGAAGAAGATCAGTCCCTTGAGTGTAGGAGATACACCCACCTTGACCCCCGGCTCCCTCGAAAGCGCATCGCTCACTACATGGACTACACAATTGAACGCCGTGGAAGCTCACGCCGCCGAACGAGACAAGTTTGCCCAAGAATTGGTAGTGCAGGTGGCGGATCCTCTGAAACAAGCTGCCACCCAGTATGAAGAGATTCGCAAATGCCATGTTGAATATCATGGCAAGTTAGAAAAGGAACGGGAGGCAGCATACGGCGATCTCAAAAAAGCGAAGGGCAAATACGATGGCGCATGTCAGGAGGTTGAATCTCGCAGAAAGAAAATGGAGACCGCTTTTGATCATGGCAAGGGCAAAGCACAAGCAGCATATCAACAACAAATACTGGAGATGAACAACTATAAGGCATGGCTCAATCTACTGGAGGCGCATGTCCTGATGCTAACTTGCGGCAGAACCTCTATCTCATCGGCATCAATGTGACCAATAAGCTCAAGGAGAAGTTTTACCATGAATATGTCCCTGAAGTGATCGATGTAAGATGAATCCGCCACTCCCTTCTCCTATCTAGGATCGACAATGGTACTCATACTTCCGGTCAGGGTTTACAAAATCTCAATGAAACACGAGTCGCAAAAATGAACTTGATGTGGTCGCTCGCCGCCCAGCTTGAAAAGTCATCTCTTACAAATAGCACGCAGCACATGGCTAATCTTCTTGTCGAAATTCCTCGCAACAATCCTCGTCTGGACTCCTTGATGTTCCTCCAGCACAATGTGACTCAGTCACAAGAACCTCCAAATCTAGAATTTGAGCCGAGTCCAGTATGGCACGACGATGCTGCAATCATCGCCGATGAGCCAGCCAAGGTCTTCCTGCGCAACGTTTTGAGTAAAAGCAAAACTCAAATCCGCGAACTACGAGTTGAGTCAGACCGGAAGAAGCGCGAAGTCGAAGGAAGCAAGAAAATACGGGAAAATATTCAACAAGGCAAAGATAATCGAAACGAGTTAGATGTCGTGCGGTCCATTTTCTTCATTCAAGAATCCTTGCACGAGGTTGATTGCAAATGGGTCACAGCCGAGGTAGAAACGGCGACTATCATTGCAGTGGCTGGAGATTTATCATTGGGAGCCCAGAATCACAATTTCCGCTCTCAGACATTCAAGATCCCAACCAATTGCGATCTTTGTGGCGAGCGAATCTGGGGCCTGTCCGCGAAGGGCTTTGACTGCAGAGATTGTGGCTACACCTGCCATAGTAAATGTCAAATGAAGGTGCCCGCGGAGTGCCCGGGCGAGCAAAGCAAGGAAGACAAGAAGAAACTCAAGGCCTTGCGGCAGGAACAGGCTGGTGCCATACCTGTTGTGGATGTCGGCACCCCTACAGCTTCCACTACCACCCCGTCACTGACGCGACAGAATACAATGAACTCTCTTAGCTCAGGATATGCGGCCAGTACGACTCGGTCGATATCGAACATTGCTACCCAGTCCACAGCAGAAAGCCCAGAGGATCCCCCGGCTCTTGTTGCAGAGGCAAAGCCAAAGCCAACTGTCGCAGCAAAGAGGAACCGGGTGCTAGCACCACCTCCGACAGCATACATGACTGCACCTCCGCCGAGCGACTTGGGCTCGAAGCCCAAAGAGCCACGGGGTAAGATGCTGTACGCTTATCAAGCCGGCGGCTCAGATGAGGTCAGCGTGGAAGATGGGGACGAAGTGGTGATTCTCCAACCAGATGGTACGTCTTTTCCTACCGTTTACACCTATATTTACTAACAATTTCACAGATGGTTCTGGATGGCTGCGTGTGCGCTCAGGAGCCAATGAAGGACTCGTTCCGGCCGCATATGTCGAAGCCGCCCCAGCACCATCCCCTGTGCCATCCGCTAGTCCCAGCATGCCTGAGCGACCTGGGTCAACGTACTCCAATTCTTCTTCATCCCTGGCGGGAAGCGCTGCACCCAAGCGTGTAGGACCAGCCGTCGCGCCCAGACGTGGAGCCAAGAAATTGCAATATGTCGAGGCATTGTACGAGTACGAAGCTCGCAGCGACATGGAGTGGAATATGTTAGAGGGTGACCGCTTTGTTCTTATCAACCGGGATAGTGGTGATGGATGGGCGGACGTTGAACGGGGCGGTGTTACGAAGAGCGTGCCGGCGAACTACATCCAGGAGGTGTAGGCTGGACGTCTAGGTTCTGCCCATTGGTCTTCATACATGTTCAGAACAGTTGATGCTGTCTGAGCTTGTCTGTTTGTACGGCCTCATAAGGTCCAGCCTTGGTTTCCGTTGGTCTTTTTCTTTCCTGTACAGTCGGCGTCATCAGTGCCGTTTCGTCATTATTCTACGTAAGGAGCATTGGGGGCATTCGTGTTGGCATCCATTCGCGAGTCTCGGATAGAGCATAGGACACGTTGTTTCCATTGAATCCCATGAAAGTCGGGACTGTTCTAGTAATCTGTAAGAATGTAGACCATTACTGAAGATATACCCGTATACCCATCTTAGATAACATGAAACCGGATCACACGGATAGCAGTTCTACCAACTTTTCCAGTCTCCGTAGTGATAGAAGTGAGTTCACGGAAGATGTATCTTTAATGTGACATATCTCTATTTCCACAATTATCTTGACTGCCAGACATCTAGCGCTTTAGCCTAGTGGTAACTAATACTCCGCATTTGAATTGGACTTGGTCCATTGCCAAGTGCGGACGACAATAGCCGCGCAATGGATCCATAGTTACGAATCTGATTAGCTCAGGCTGTAAATTCGACAATCAACTCAAGCCCGAAATACTTTCCAAGTGCTATGTACATGTATTCTTATCTCCGGGGGAAATTAAGGTAGTTTTGACTCGATGGTGTGACATGCTTACGCCTACCCTGTGGATTCGGCGTGTCAGCAGCTTACATCACCTTCGCTCTAGCTGGATTGAGGACTGATCAGTCTCCAGGCTTTGTAGCTAGCATAGTTCATTGTAGGGTACAAGGTGACAGAGGTACTTCCAAGAAACATCCTAGGCAATGCCTCTTGGCAAGTGGAGGTATGACATAAGGCAAGTCTTAGAAGTCAACTCCGTAAATCCGAACTTCCTAATCCTTCCAATATCACCACCTCGTGAAGCAAGTTTCCGATGCTGTTAATCCGTGATGACTCGGAGATATGAAGATACAGAGGCTTAACTCCCCGTGCCAAGGCCGCTCAGCCCCGGCATACGTTATCCTCCAATAAGCGCCAAGAGGGCCTCCTCATGGCCCGTCAAACGTATGTAAATCTAAGCTAGACCAAAACTCAAAATAACCTTGGAAAGCGACATATAACCAACTGGCACCCCGGAAACCCGTTTCCTCGGACGTGGGTACTTAGCCATCGCAAGCTGGACTTCAAGAATCAAAAATCAAATCCCTCCACGCGCCCCCTGTTTGACCGCAGAACATAATGCTCTTTCAACCGTTATTTACCACGATCTGCGTACTCCTTCTCGGCTTGCTAGCAACAAGCGCGACTATAGGCATTCGGCCGCAAATTTCCGGGCTGGACAACACCCTCGGAGCTACGATTCAGACGATTAAGAATACTATACAACAGCTGCCGATCCACGATGCAGCGTCAGTAACCGTTCTTCCCCGGAGATCCGAAGACGAAGATCATGACGCAATACCCGGGCTCCACGAAACAACAATAGACTGGAGAGAGGATGGGTCTGAGTCTCTGAGACTGGAAGCAGAGCGTGAGGCTGGATTTCTGCCGAGTTCTCATAGTGAGAGGTAAAAGTTGTATCCAGTTGATCAGCTAGTCAGTAGCTAACATGGTTTGATAGTTATGACTCGTTACCGCAGTTTTGGCCTTTGTTTAAAATTTGTGTCGTTTCAGCAATCGTAATTTGTATTCTTAAAATAGCCCGGGACTTGAGGAGGTAGCAATAAAAGCAAATCATGACAGTTATGTTTCTGTACAGCAGAGTTGGCTTTGATTCATATGGCACATACTAGTCTGGCCATGCTGCGTTACATGATGGGTATCTCATGAGTTCTTCCTGGACCAAAAAAGAGATGCGAAAAGGGGTATGATTAAGATAGGTGCATAGAATTGGTTTCCTATCTATTGTTTCGCTCTCGGATCCTTCTAGCGCGAAGACCCGACTATTTACTTTGATAGCATAGTTGAAGGAACTGTGGCGCAGGGATCGTGCAATCTTAAACATCTGCAACGAACCATTATTTGCGACAACAACGTCATTGGGCAATGAGTTCGATCTAGAACTTTATTATTTTATTATTCTGATCTCGTGGCAATCACCCGAGGATGATCGACGATCCTTCCTTGCCCCTTGCATCAGGAACCGTATTGCAGATCGAGTATCTTCTCCTTACCATAGAACAGTCAAGGAACACCAACCCCTGCTCTATGAGCTTGTTTCAATAATCTATGACTTCAATGGCCTTTGTCCTAGCATATTTCTTTCAGTTCCTTCGAACAAGGATATAGTTAGCCGTATTTACTCTCATCCTGACGGAGTGCAATATTCTGTCTGCCGCCCCTAGCGCAAGATAATCAGGAACAAAAGCAAGTATGGAACAATAGATAGCCAAAGCGCACAGCGCAACGTTACACCCCAACTCTAAAGACTATGTAACATAAGAGCCACCCAAAAAGCAGGCTTTAGGTACGATATTTCAAATACTGTGGGGAGGATGGATGGGTCGTCTATATGATCGTCACGGGTCGGCCCTTAGTCTTGAAACGTCCGGTCCTGAGTTTCCATTACTGGCAATAAAGCATAGGTTGTGTCACCCCTGAAACTTTGTATCCGGCTCTGCAGGAAGCATCTCGTGTCTGAGCTTAAGCTATTGAATTGCAATATCTGATACGTACGATTATATCACATCACCATTGACCTAGGCCTGCAAATATAATCAATGATCATCATCCTCCGATCCCAGGCTCCAGGGCTGTGATTATAGTGAGGCTAAAACTCCATATGTGTGTGGAGCTCGCCGATCATTTGCTAAGGTGATAATTAATGTTGAAGGGATCGGCGCATACTAGGACCTGATGCAAGTGATCGGAGTGAGGCGTGGTTACACCCTCGATCTGTTCCTGTCCCTGGGGCTAGACTACAGGGGTCACGAGTGCTACTGTGGGATTGGGATTGAACCATGAGGCTATCATTCTAGAAAAAGTAAATACATACTATGCTAGTCATGTCGTCATTGCGTAAGTGCCTTGCTTCCCAGGCATGTGGCTTTTCTTGGTAACTGCCTGAATGGGCCTGATAGTGGAGAATGGGGGTCTGGATTTAAAACGTGGGTTTTCAACCGAACGACCTTGACCGATATTTAGGATAATACGGCGATCTCCGTACAACGTCTGATTTTCAAAAGCTAAAGTGGACATATTCGGTAAAAAGCGGACTGTGATTGGTCCTTGATAATAGTATGTTGTAGGCAGAATCTGCCTTTATATACATTGACATAAAACATGTTCGAAAATGAAGTGACAAGAATAGAAAATATGTAGCCTTCAATTTAGGCTTGTGGCCAATGTGTGCCAAAGAACTCCCCGCTATGATGTCGCTTGCCAAAAACCGAGAGGGAAAGATGCGCCTCTGAGAATGAAATCAAGATCAAACAAAAGAAAAGAAAGAAAGAAATGGATGCGAAGTCGTGCTCGCTAAAGCCTTGGTGCTGAATGTGGCTCAAAAGAGTAGCCTCGTATAAGAGAGAATAAGATGTCGCGAAGTGAATCGTTGGTCGTGTGTGTTCTTCAGTGAATCACCGAGAGAGTAAAAGAAAAGATGCAGTTCATGCAGTTCGTGCCGTCGCCCTCGACCCTCGACGATATTTTAAATCATCTCGACTGAGGAGTCGGCGTATTCTAGAGACAAATCGACAGGGTCTTCCATCTGGGGAATGTTAGAACTGAATGCGACCGAAGAAGAAAAGACAGGAGTAAGCTTACCATGGCGACGCATGGATATGGAGGAATCATCCACAGGCTGTGTAGTGTAGGCTGCAGCCCAATACCCCGTTTCTCGGTAACCGGTGAAGGTGCAGTTGCTAGGATTGTACTGTGGCTGCAGGGCGGCAACATGCGGGTAGAGCGTTGCTAACGGTGAGAGAAGCTCATCTGATGGTGGTGGTGACCGTCTGCTATCGATGCTTCCACGAGACTGGAATGTATATGTTAGACTGGTTGGCAGAAGTAAGCATGGATCGTACTTACGTAGAGCTCATAGTTGGTTTTATAACTCATAATGTTGGGTAGTGATGGTGTGATTGTCTCAATGCAAGATGACGAGACCTAGTTCAAATCTGAATGCTGAGATGCAGGTCTCACCAGAAGCGAAGCCGGCTGCATTTAAATGTATCGGAAATGCTCAGCCGCAGCAAAATTTGGAAGCGGGGGAAATTAAGACGTCAAGATCCGCATCTAATCGCCTAGTTTGTTTTCATAGATAGGATTTGGTTACACCCGGGAACTCGGGATTAGATGGTCTCCACCGAAACGTAAATGAAACCTTTTCATTGGCTGCCACGAGGAAGTCTAAGCGTTAGGGCCGATCGGAGTCCCCGATGTGGGAAAGTCGAGATACGAGGATTGCAGTTTGCAGGATCCCTGCAGACCATGAATCGTGGCATCCTCGTTCGACGTTGCTGCCCCCTTGCATATTCCTCTTCTCGCTTCCACGTTTTGGTTTTACCCTTATTCTCATGAACATGTGGTCCTGCGGGGGGGGAGCAAATATCGTCGAATTCCGAAATGTAAGATGTGATACGAGATCCCATCCCCGAACCGATCCGGACTCTACCTGTTTCCTATATTGTATAATGTCAAGATGATTTCATTCTAAGCAGAAGTGGGCCACATGTCAGCCATGTCGCACAGGTCACCAACTAAGACAATCTCTAAGCGAGTATATTAAAAGACTAATGAGATCACTGATCTTCCGCTAGTTGTAAGGTTTCCAAATCATTTTCAAGGTGATCCAGGGCGAGATAGTGCGACAGACTAGCCCCGAATATATTGCACTATTGATAACGCTACGCCAGAACCGCTCTAGATCGGCCTTGGGAACTGCCTATTCGGGCCTAGCGCACAATTCCATTGTCGGTTCGGGACACAGCCACACACCCCTTGCTATTTGTGGACAAGCGGACGAGCCACATCGTCGGTCTCACCGTGGCTCAAACCGTGGCTCACCGTGGCTCACCGTGGCTAGTGACCACATCTGTGGCTCAAGCTTGGTTTTTGTTCGATAGCTTCCCAGATCCACTCCACCCTGCTTCACCTCGGAAACCCGAACTAGTCCGCCCTTGATCTTCACAACTTATCGATTTTGGGCACCCTTAATGGCTCGGTCTTCCCCGTCCGCTGGGTCGCGGAGCTATAAGGCATTCGTCTCCCCCAGAATCATGAACTATTCCACAAGTCTAAATCCACCTTTCGTTTGAAGTCTTCCTCTTTGCGCTTCCTATATCAACACATGTCGACTGTCGAACATGTCACTGAGAATGCAGGGTTCTGGAAGAGAGTGCTGGGAAAACTCTCATCATATCGACATGCGCGACCCTTACTCTCGCGAACAACCCGCTCAAAGTGAGTTCCTTTTTCTCTTCACCTCCCCTACCCCGGTCGTGCCCATTGCGCCGGTTACACCATGACCCATATTCTGAGACCTTTCGCCTTTGTTCCAGGATCCGTCGAACGAGACGCTGAACGCATCCCCGATAGGCGCGAACGCTCCCACGACGAGGGAATGAACCCAGAGACGCAGTCCATGTTGAGCGATGCCGAGTTTGGTCGCGTGGACCATACGGGCTGGTTCCCCCACTATAAGAATTGTGTTCAACATTTCGTGGACTACAGCCAGCATACGCCCCAAGTGCAGTCCATTGCCGCGTTCATCAATATTCGACTACCCTGTCAGCGACCTGAGTCCAGCGCACCGGTGGAAACCACGTCATTGCCCTTTATTTCGCTGCGACCCTACATCCGACGATTGATTGTCACCGCGCAAGACTCACCGAGTGTTATGCAAGGCTTCTTCGGTGGTGACTGGGAGGCTGGTGTGGGCTGTATCTACAAGCAAGAACGGGTGAACTATATGTTTACGGCCAAAAGCAGTGGGTGGGCAGCTACCAAGACCGCCTACGACATTTCTCCAGATGAAGAAACTCCCTTCTTGAGGCCCCTGCGTGACCCCTCGGAGGATGAAATTCGAGTGGCCGAGGCGCGGTGGAGTGAATGGCTGGCAATGGAAGATTGGATGGTTGGAGCGCGCAGTCCCTGGTAGGATAGCGCGATCATGAGGCACGAATTTCCTATTCTTCTCTTTTCGTTTTTTTTTTCTTATGTCCCTCGTGCCCCAAAAAAATTACAGAGTGTGATGTGGCCCAATTCACTGAGTATAATGACAAACGTACTTTTTTTTCTCCATTTTCCATGCCATACTCCGTAGGGATAGTTCTTCCCCATAGCAATGCAGATCATCATAAGCATGTCAAAAATAAAGTAAATAAAGTGCAGACATTAGAGTTGACGAGATGGTCCTGCGTCATAATCGATAGTGCACCGCCACAGGCACAGACCAGAGTGACAAATACTTAAACTCGGAGATCCCAAATATTAATTTAATAAAATTCCACTCCGGACGTCCGTGATTTTACAAAAGATTATTCTGATATCTAACTAACCAGACTCAGTTAGGGCTATCCACCTCTGACTCACCGTCATGTCAGGTGTCAACCTGTCACTTTACGATCAAATCGAGGATAGTCTCTTCTGCAAGTTCGCTTCAACTCGTGTAGAGATATCGAATCCAGGTTCCCGGGTACCTGGTACCTCGCAATGGCATCGACATGCATCTACGAGCATGATGCAGCCACAATAATCCCAGCCCTCATATCTGAACTGCCGTATTCCACCACGCTGCTCCGGCGAATCCAGCATGGAATTGGGTATCCGCACGAGACTGCCCACATCCTGGCGACTTTCCCACCCGGTTTAGCCCCTGAGCCTGGACAGCCGTGGCTGGCTGCGCGGGTGGATCTCTTTGCCGGCCGCACAACACAAATGTTCATCTACTCCAGTCTCGAAGCGGAGCACACGTCAATTCCGCCGATCGCCACTGTCGGCGATAGTATCAAAGCCACGAAACCGGAGATATTAAATGTGGACTCTGGATCCAATAATAACCGAACCAAAAATGGTAATGATGTTGGCGCAAACCCTGACACCAACACCAAGTCCATTGTTTCCACCTTTTCCGCCAACCCGCCCGTCCTAGCCTTGGCCCGCGCCCAGCTATTGGATTTGCTGTCATATGTCAAGACCAAATTGCTGCCATCCTATCTGTCATATTTGCAAGCCACATCTGCGGAAGCTGAATCTCTTCCCGTGTCGACGTCCCTGGTGACCCCAAACACCACTCCCAGTACCAATAGTACTAGTAGTGTTCCCCTGATTGCCGCGCCAGACCCACACGCCTTCCTCATCGGTGCCCTTCATACAGGTCTATTCTGTCTCCTGCAGCAATCAGGCTCTTACACCCAATCTGACCCGATACCTTGTATCCGGGTCCATCGCTTCGACGATCCGCCTTATTACAAGTACTTCTTCCGGAGATCAGAGTTCAGCCCCGATGCAGATCTACCGTGCGCCGATCTGTCCCTCCCACCCGGGTATAGGTTCCATGACCGACAGGGGAGGGAGGGTGTTCTGAGTAAGCATCTAGATCTTGTGCAGAGTCGGACGCATATCCCCAGGCCGAGGTCGCAGCTATCTACAATGCCTGGTATGGCGGTCTATTTTGATGGCTCTAGTGATGATGATGAAATGCCTATTGCGTGGGGATTCTTGGGTGTAGATGGAGCGCTGGCGACGTTGCATGTTGAACCCGAGCATCGGGGCCGCGGCCTTGCGGCTGCATTGTCTAAGGCTGTTATGCGTCATGGGATGGCAGTAGATGGGCTTTTTGGGGCTGGGAGTGTTAACTCGGAGGATAGTCACACTCGAGAATGTATTGGGGCTTGGGCGCATACTGATGTAGCTGGGTATAATCATGCGAGTCGGAGGGTTATGGAGAAGATTGGGGGTCAGGTTCTGACGACTGTCACTTGGACTGTTATTGAGTTGCTTGATTAGCGTTTTCATCTTGGGTTGTCTATATGAGTGGAAGATATATAATGAACGATGGAAATGAGTTTATATATCTTTACACTTATCTATGCAGCGATAGCTGTCGGATTTTACAATAGGTGACAATTTCAGGAGTAATTCTAGTTCTCTAATATTTACATGTAAATGGATTCTAGATGAAGCCCTAATATCATAGAAACTGCATAGTTATGTTGTAAACACTGAACGTTGACTCACCTATCTCCATCGTCCCCAGATATTCCCAATTAGGCTTAGTGGATGATCGGGTGATTCGACGAGATACACGGGGGAACTTCACTTCGAATTTCTCTATTTTCTTCATTTCCAAGCCATTGACCAATCTCCGTTCCTTCAAAATGAGTAATCCCAAAGGCGTCGCTGAGAACATGCTCTGGGGAGGCCGCTTCACCCGTGAGTACCACAACCCCTCCATCCCACCAAAAAAGCCCACTGACTCATACAAAAAACAGAGGGCCTCGATCCCCTCATGGTGCAGTACAACACGTCCCTCCCCTACGACCGCGTGTTCTGGAAGCAAGACATCGCCGGCTCAATTGCCTTCGCCCGCGCCAACACTAAGTCCGGCATCCTCACACCGCAAGAGTTCGCCGAGATCGAGCGTGGTTTCAAGCAAGTCGCCGAGGAATGGCAAACCAACACATTCGTAGCCAAGGAGAACGACGAGGACATCCACACTGCCAACGAGCGCCGTCTGGGCGAGATCATCGGCAAGGATATCGGCGGTAAGCTGCACACCGGTCGGTCGCGTAACGAGCAGATCGCCACGGACATGCGCCTGTGGCTCCGCGACGAGCTCCGCGTGATCGAGGCCCACCTGATCAATCTGATCAAGGTCTCCATTGCTCGCGCCGAGAACGATATCGCCTATCTCATGCCCGGCTACACCCACCTGCAGAAGGCCCAGCCGGTCCGCTGGTCCCACTGGATCCTGTCGCATGCCACTGCCTTTGCTAGCGAGTTGGAGCGTCTCCGCGAGGTGATCCGTCGCGTCAATAAGAGCCCCCTCGGTACCGGTGCCCTGGCTGGTAACTGCTTCAACATTGATCGTGAGGCTATGGCCAAGGAGCTTGGCTTCGATGGCTTGCTGTACAACTCCATGAACGCGGTTGCGGACCGTGATTTCGCCATGGAGACTATGCAGTGGGGTAGCTCGTTCATGCTCAAGATCTCCCGCTGGGCCGAGGATCTGATCATCTACAGCAGTCTGGAGTTCGGCTTTGTCCGTCTGTCGGATGCTTACTCGACTGGATCGTCGCTCATGCCCCAGAAGAAGAACGCAGGTAAGTTTGACTTTATTTATGTACTATAGTAGAATACTAACATGTTCCCCATTAGACAGCCTGGAGCTGCTCCGCGGTAAGTCTGGCCGTACCTTCGGCCAGATGGCCGGCCTGATGTGCACAATCAAGGGCCTGCCCACTACCTACAACAAGGATCTGCAGGAGAGCGTCGAGCCCATGCTCGACCACGTCAAGACTGTCAGCGACAGCATCCAGATCGCAACCGGTGTGCTCTCCACGCTCACCGTCATCCCGGAGAAGATGATCGCCGCCCTGGCCCCGGAGATGCTGGCTACCGAAATTGCCGACTACCTTGTCCGCAAGGGCGTGCCTTTCCGCGAGGGACACCACATTTCCGGCCGTGTCGTTGCCCTGGCTGAGAACACCAATGTCCCCATGGACACACTCTCTCTGGCGCAGCTCCAGGAAGTCGACGCCCGCTTCGACGCGGATGTCCAGACTTGCCTTGACTACGAGCGTGCCGTTGAGCTGAAGGATGCCATTGGTGGAACTAGCAAGCGCGCGGTTCTCGAGCAGACCGCCGTGCTGAAGAATTTACTGTAAACTCTTTTGGTACGATATATGACAGAAAATAAATGTTAGGCTTTTGGTTAGACTAAAATGAATATATGAATTGACTTGTTTAGATGTCTAAAATAAAAGAGTGAACTTATATGCTGCTATTAAAGGAGGGATATCATACAACATACCAGACCATTAAGCCGGAACTCCAACCCTAACATAACCCCGAAAATCAAGATCAACCCCTCAAACCCCTCCTCTGGGGCTCATACCCATTCTTCCAGACGGAGACTTAATATCATGTCCAGGAGCTCCCTGTGCCGCCTCATAAGCAGGCGGGACATCATGACCCTCGGCAGCCACAATATCATCTTCCAAACTGCGCTGGGCAGGCCTAGACGCACTGCTTCCACCTCCCTGGGGGTTAGAAGTAATGCCACCAGTTTCAATTCCAAGCCCAGTCCCTCCCCGATCCCCAGCATACTGCATAAAACTCATAACATGATCCGTCCCGCCGCGCTCAGCCGTTCTCCCCCTTTCGCCCAGCGCCTGGGACCCAGACTCTCCAATTTCGATACCATTAGAGTATCGGTCCAGATTCGCGCCTAGGACAACCCCCTCGGCAGTGACGACCCGTCCAGCCTGGTTCCGCCCCGGACTACCGCCGGCGCTGTGGCTGTGGCTATGGCCGCTGCCGGTGTCGGCTGCTCGTGCTGGGCTTGCGCGTGAACTGGGTATAGAGGCCAAGGCGGGCGATTCCCAGGCCCGTGGACTAGTCCATGAGTTGATAATGGGCTGCTGTAGCTGGCGTTGTTGGAGGGGTACGTTGATCAGCTCGCTCTGGGCGTGCGAGGCTAGTTCGGCGCGTTGCCGGTGGAAGCCTGTGTCTGGTAGCTCGGGGGTGAATCCCTGGCGGGGAGGGATTGAAGCGAAGAGCTCGTTTGAGTGTGGTTGGGTTGGGGGGATGGGTGTTTTGCGGGGAGAGTGGGAGATGAGGCTTGTGGCGGAGGACTCAAGTGCTAGGTCTGGGGTGAGGATTATGCTTCGTGTGTTATCTGTGAATGGGGAGGCGGCGCTCGATGAGTCTATCGATGCGATGGCTTGTATCAGTGATATGTTACGCTGCCTCAATGGGTAGGCCAGTTAGTCTGGGATGTGTTTCTGCTTACTATGTGCTTCGCTGTCTGATGGCGATAGCGGGCCTTTCATTTCGGATGCAGTTCCTCGATCTTTGTACCATGAGACAAGAGTTGTGCCTTCGCGTTTCCCATGTTTTCTCTTGCGGCGACAGCAACAGAAAAGCAGAATGGCACATATGACCAAGACCGCAACTCCTCCAACAACACCGCCGATGATTGCGCCTAGGTTTGAGGATGTGGCACCTGGGGTATTGGATGGAGATGCGCTAGATGTAACACCTGTAGATTCTGTAGTCGTGGATGTGTCAGAATTTGTAGAAAGTGGCGATGAAGTCGCCAGTGTTACTGAGGATGTGGGTGTCTCCGAACCTGTTGATGTATTTGAAGTAATATAAGCTGTCGACGAGACGGTAGCTTGTTTCGACAGAGTGGATGTAGGGGAAGTAGTGATGGTTTTCGTCGTCACGCTGGACACCCCAGCTGAGGTCGATGAGAGTGTGTCATCGTCGTCGTCCGGACAAATCCCAGTCGTACATGGATCAGTTGCGCAGCATCCACGGAAGCTGCCTGCCGTGCAGACATACCACAGCTTGGACCCAGTGCAAGTAGTATCGTCTCGAGGGACAAGAGACCACAGGGACTCGGGAGACTCCATTTCGAATACCTTGAAGATCAAGTCTCATTCGCCGAAGAAGACAACTCGATCGAATCGCAAGACACAGCAATTACGCTGGATAGCACAAGCTTGAACGACTGGAAGCGAGAGATCTCGTTTCACCGATATTTGAGAATCTGCCAGAAATGATAGGTCAAATGGGTTGTGCCCCGACAAATATTCTTTGCAGGCGGCATTCATTAACTTTCGAATGGAGACCACGACCCTGTTTTCTGAAAGAAGTCGAGAAAGGATTCCTTTGTTGGTGCGGGGTGGCACTGCCATGCCAATTATAGATCCTTGTATGTTTGTCACCAATGGGGTCCAAGGCTCCTGCGCAGCAGAGTTGGGTTTTCTTTAGTGCAGTAGATGCGTCTCTTTGACGCAGATTGGATAATACGGTGATAAATGATCGCAGAATCTAAGAAGTCAGCAAGAAATCAGTCGTAGGTCAATAAACAAGGTTCGAAAGACTCCAAGGGGTGTTCGGTTTCTTTGTTGACAGACCAGGGTCGACCCCGGGGATTTTGAGCCAAATCAAACAAAAAACCGGAGTTTTGATATGGACAAGGAGAAAACTACAATAAGAACCTAAGACGGGGCACAGAAAAGCATTAAGAAGTAATAAATCAAATCATATGAGACAAACAGAGGGAAAAAGCACTCAGCACACCAACTCTTCGCCTGTTAAGATAAAGGAAAACAATATGGCTATACAGGATGGTAAGTAACACAGTCAACAAAAAAATGGTCTTTTTCATAGATATTTCCCCTTGAAACGGGGGCCTTGTGACGCCACAAGCCATAGTTCCGTCTCGAAACTACGAGGCTGGGAGGGCGTCGATAGGGTCCATCTGAAACAACTCCGTGGTATCCTCCTATTCTCTGCGGGTCGTATCCAAAATAGCGAGCTTAGTAGACACGCTTGAAAGGAGGAACAGACTTGCACTCCGACTCATCCAAGGTGTGGGACTGAACGGGACGGTAGCCAAGCTTGATCTCGCCGTGGGGAACCTTCTGCCAGGAGAGAGTGTGCTTCATCCAGTGCTCGTCATCACGCTCGGGGTAATCCTCACGGGCGTGAGCACCACGAGACTCCTTACGAGCTGCAGCGGAAGCAGCGGTTTGGGTACTGTGAGATCCAATGTTAGCAAGCGATTCCTAGATCAGTTATTCGGAGTTACGTACGCGCAAGTGAGCAGGTTGCGGAGCTCAAGAGTCTCCACCAAGTCGGAATTCCAGATCATGCTGCGGTCCTTAGTGCCGACCTGTTCGTACAGCTGATCAACCTTGTTGATCTTCTCAACACCCTCGTCCAAGCTCGACTGGGTACGGAAGACGCTGACATCGGTCTGCATGACCTTCTGCATAGCGTTGCGGACTTCAAAAGTCGACTTGGGGCCATCGGCATTACGGGCGTGGTCGAGGTCCTTGACAGACTGAGCACCAGCATCGGCTGCAAGGGGCTTGTGGGGCTGGCCAGGGCTGGAAATGTCACGAACACGGTGAGACACAGCGCGGCCGAAGACAACCAAATCAAGCAGGGAGTTGGCACCCAGGCGGTTAGCACCGTGGACAGACACACAGGCGGCCTCACCGCAAGCGTACAGACCGGGAACAGGCTTCTCCTGGCCGTTCTCATCGACATTGAGAACCTCACCAGTGTGGTTGGTGGGGATACCACCCATGTTGTAGTGGACGGTGGGCAGGACAGGGATGGGCTGCTTGGTAACATCAACACCGGCGAAAATCGAGGCAGTCTCGGAGATACCGGGCAGACGCTCGTGCAGGAGCTCAGCGGGCAAGTGGCTGAGCTGAAGGTAGAGGTGGTCCTTCTCGGGACCAACACCACGGCCCTCACGGATCTCCAGAGTCATGGATCGGGAGACAACGTCACGGGAGGCAAGATCCTTGGCGGTAGGAGCGTAACGCTCCATGAAACGCTCACCCTCGGAGTTGATCAGGTAACCACCCTCACCACGGGAGCCCTCGGTAATCAGACAACCAGCACCGTAGATACCAGTAGGGTGGAACTGGACGAATTCCAGATCCTGGTTAGGGAGACCAGCACGAGAAACCATAGCCATACCGTCACCAGTGCAAGTGTGGGCAGAGGTACAAGAGAAGAAGGCTCGTCCGTAACCACCGGTGGCAAGGACAGTGTGGTGGGCCTTGAAGCGGTGCAGAGTACCATCCTCCTGGTTGTAGGCAATGACACCACGGCAAACACCATCTTCCATCAGCAGGTCGAGGGCGAAGAATTCAATGAAGTAGTTGGTGTGGTGGCGGAGAGACTGTCCGTAGAGGGTGTGCAGAAGGGCGTGACCAGTACGATCAGCAGCGGCGGCGCAACGGTAAGCCTGACCACCCTTGCCGTAATCCTTAGATTGACCACCGAAAGCACGCTGGTAAATAAGTCCATCCTCAGTACGCGAGAATGGGCAACCGTAACCTTCAAGCTCGCGGACACTGGCGGGAGCCTCGCGGGTCATGTAGTGAATGGCATCTTGGTCACCAAGCCAATCAGAACCCTTCACGGTATCGTACATGTGCCATCTCCAGTCATCCGGGTGCATGCTAAAATTCAGTTAGACTCAATTCGGTACCTTCCGGTGCTTGCGGTGAAAACCTACTTTCCGAGGGCAGCGTTGATACCACCCTGGGCAGCGACAGTGTGACTTCTCGTAGGGAACAGCTTGGAAACACAAGCAGTCTTGAATCCAGCTTCAGCCAGACCGAAAGCAGCGCGCAAACCGGCACCTCCGGCACCGACAACGAGGGCATCGTACTCGTGATCCTGCGCATGTTAGACTCAATCAACCGCCTGTGAGTGGTAGCTCTTACAATGATAGGGTACTTGTCACTCAGGTAGCCACTGGACTCCTTAGCGCGCAAAGGCTGGTTGGACCATATCCGGGCTGGCGCAGTTTAGTTAGTGACGGTGCGTTCATGGGTTGAGTAGTCTAATGCGTACCTGCGGGCTTTGAAGATGAGAAGAGACGTCTTTGGTTCCTCAAGATGCGGGAAACCTAGAGAGATCTTATGAGTATGTCATGGCCGTTGCGAATGGGCTGAAAATCGTTGCATGGCTACTCACCTTGGAAGCAGGAGCTAAACTCCGCATACTCATGGAGCTCATAATGGCGGATCAAACGAGAATTGGGTTTCCCTAAATGAACCGAGATAATCGCAGGACACCGAGGGTCGGTGACAGGCTTAACAAAGAGGGGAGATTGTGGAATAGCGAACTCCTTCCAGGGCGACACTTTCATCTGGACTCGGGTTACGGTTGAACAGTTTCACGCTGACATAATCATTCTCCCAGTTGCCGACGGGGAGGACCGGGCCAAATTAGCCAATCAGCAGCTGCGCAATGAAAATCAACCTCGGGCAGCCGGTTGCCCGTGATTGGCCAATTGGAAAGGATCCACTATCTAGGTGTGATATTCCATTTTGCCGGCCAACACAGCTGCCCGGAAGTCAACGGTAGAGCGTCATATCACGGGATCTTGAATCTATATCTGGTTATCTTTTCTAACTTTAGTCCCACTTTTCCTAGTAGAATGACGTGCAATTGCTGGATATCGATCATTGTGGTATCTAGTAGTTAGATCGAGATAGTCATGTGATTCAATATGACTAGTTAGAATCACATGACAAGCCGTGTGCATTCCGACCAAATCAGGAAAGTATACGGACTACGTACTACATTGGTAGTACACAGGTTGAAATTATATTGCATTGACCAGGAAAAAAACTCCCATGTAACAAGACAATAGTGATCGTACATCCCATCCATAATGCAAGTGAGTCGGAATTTCTAGTTGTACTGCATATATGTAGCCGTCGAGTTGAACTTGAGGTTGCCCTTAATCACCTTCTCAACGGAGGCCAAGAAGTCCTTCTCGGTGGCCACCTTACGGCGAGCCCGAATAGCAAACATACCCGCCTCAGTCGCAACACTGCGGAGTTCGGCACCTGTAGCGTTGGGGCACAATCGCGAGATCAGCTCCCAACGGATGTCTCGCTCGACGGACATGCTCTTGGCATGGATTCGGAGAATGTTGGCACGACCCTCGACATCCGGTAGTGAGAATTCGATCTTACGATCGATACGGCCGGGACGCATCAAGGCTGGGTCAAGTGTAGACGGACGGTTGGTAGCGAACATGACTTTAATGTTACCCCGAGAGTCGAATCCATCCAGCTGTGTGATCAGTTCCAGCATGGTTCGCTGCACCTCGTTGTCTCCACCAGCGCCATCGTCAAAACGTGCACCACCAACGGCATCAATTTCGTCGAAGAAAATAATGCATGCCTTCTTGGTACGGGCCATCTCGAAAAGTTCACGGACCATCCGAGCACCCTCACCAACGTACTTCTGCACCAGTTCACTACCAATGACACGGATGAAGGTAGCATCCGTTCGGTTGGCGACTGCACGGGCACAAAGGGTCTTTCCGGTTCCTGGGGGTCCGTAGAGCAGAGCACCCTTGGGTGGGTCGATACCGAGATTCACGAAGCGCTCTGGCGATAGCAAGGGCATTTCGACTACTTCTCGTAGCTTCTCGATCTGTTCTTTGCATCCACCAACATCGCCGTAGGTCACATCAGGCTTATCTTCGACAGTCATCATTGTCACGCTGGGGTCGATCTTTGGCGGCAAGGGCAGCATGATCTGATACTTATTACGGTCGACGCTGCGAAGCCTAGTCAGTACATAGAAATGACATATAATCCGCCATATAACTTACCCAACTCTCATGCCTTCTTCGATATCTGTCGGACTAACGCGCTCTCCGAGGTTGACAACGAACTTGGCAATTTGCTTGACGTTGATCACGTATTTGCTCTTGTCCGAGTCCTTCTCATCCTGGATAATCTTTGTGCACCTCGCGACCTGTAGCGGCTGTTCCTCCGCCATGCGTTGTCGATCGGCAGCAACATCCCAAAGGTGTGGAGGCGCCAAACCGGTGTCAGATTCCTGGTAAGACATTAGC